TCCCATTTCTGTTTTTATTGTTTTGGAACAGTTCATTTTTAGAAAAAAATATATAATTTAAATTAACTATTAATGGATTTAATCCCTATATTTTAAATTTTTTGTTTGTTCTTTTTAGTTATATTCGACAATAGAGTGTATTTTGACATATTATACATACATGGAATGTAACTTCCCATTCCTGTGGTTGTACATGATATGGAATTACACTGGTCGTTTATTCACATATGAACATAGGAAAGTTATGTCCAATTCACTCTACTATCTTTCCTATTCCCATTCCCTCTCCCATCCCTTCATTCCCCTTTGTCTAATCCAATGAACTTCTATTCTTCCCACCCTAACCCTTTATTGTGTATTAGTACCTGCATATCAGAGAGAACATTCAGCCTTTTTAATCCCTATTTTTAAATAAATTAGTACATATTTTTAAAATTTCTTAGTTATAATTTCTAATAAGACAAATTAAAGGTACATTAAAAAAAGTTCCTATGGTCCTCAGTTTTTAGAGATATAAAAGGGTGGTCCAAAAAAAAAAAAATAGGTATAGAAATATAAAGGAGTCCTCAGACCAAAAAATTTGAGAACTATTGCCAACAGAATAAATTAATTTGGAAATATAAACTCATCCTAATACTTAGAAACTGTCCTGCATCTTAAAAATATAGAGAAATAGGTAAGAGATGAATGGGCAGTAGACAATCTCAGAATATGAGGATGTAAAGGAAAGTGACATACATTTGAACTGCTGTGGGAAACCAACACCAAATTCATTTGTAAGAGATAGATGATCATATATGTGGTTATAGGTGAGGGAAGAGGTAGTCAGAAGCACAAATTCTGGAGTAGATGGGCCTGGATTCAAATCTTGGCTCTAAAACCTACTAACTATACAACATTGGATAAGTAACTAAATCTCTAGGCCTCAGTTTCCTCATTCTTTCAAATAAAATCAGACAAACTGCAGTAGAGTCATGGGGAAAAAGAATATTACTTTTTTTAAAAAAAACTTTTAGTTCTCAATGAACCTTTATTTTATTTATTGATACGTGGTGCTGAGAATTGAACCTAGTGCCTCACACATGCTAGGTAAGCACTCTGTCATTGAGCCACAACCCCAGCCCCTGGAAAAAGAATATTGCTACCCTGTGGGATATCTAAGCAAGTCTTGGCAGTCTGATATGGCCTCTAGGAATCTATATATATTCTTTCTTTCAAAGAGGGGGATTAGAAGAAGTGAACATTTTCATGTAAAGCAGGATATCTCAGAATCCCAGTTTTATTTTTTGAGCCAGGGAGTAATCACCGCAGCTCTGTGCTAAAGCCTATAGATTAATCAGAGACTATTCAATAGTCAGTGCTACCAGTGCTAAGGTATTCATTAACTAGCTCAGTGATGGCTCTTAAGACAAGGCTAGGATTATAACAAAGCTCCCTAAGAGAGGCCAAACTAGGAGAAATGTGCTGTGAAGGTGAGGCAGTTGGCTCCCAGCCATAAAGAAGTCCCAGAAGGGGTTAAACCAAATTTTTAAAGTCCTACAATCATTTGTCAAACAATATTTGAATGCTAGCTATGTGTAAAGAAGGAGAGCTTGACTGCAGGACTTTGAAAAGAAGATATGAACATAAATAAATATGTATACAGAGTACACATACAGTAAAAAAATCAACAAGCAGAGAGGGACATATAAAACATGATGAAAAGATGAAATGAAAATTTCCCTTAGGGAATGAGGAGGTCAGGGAAGGTTTCTTGAGAAAAGAGGTAAAAGATAATTATGATGTGGAATTCAGAGATGGAAAAATGGGACATCTTAGAGTGGGCCTTTTTAGAGTAAACCATAGAGGGTAGAAAACAAACATTATGCATCAGGAGTACTGGGTAGTTCATTTTGGGTTAAATACTAGAAGCTTGATGGGGCACACTGACTGGAAACTTAAAAGATAAACTGTGTCCCTAATAAAGGGAGAGGAATGCTCTGAACTCCATGCTAAAGAGTTGGAACTTTATTAGCAAATAGAATAAATCTGATTAAGGGAATACCCTCTCCCACTCTTCTTAATAACTATTTGGAACTGTTGATATTTTCTTTAGCCCACAACTCCTCGTTTCCTTCAATACATTTTAAATTATCTTCATTATGGAAAAATTAGAGGGATCATTTTTTTCAACTTCTTATACACTGTCCACAAACTTATGTACCTCAACATTCTCTATTTTCCTGAGGTTTCAGAGGATGAGATGCCCTTTTTCTGTTAAAGACCATATCTATTTGCCCATCTTTCAAGATTGTACTTCATTTCTACTCTATTCTACTCCATTTTCTAATCCTACCTTTCCATCTTCTGTTTTTTTCCCTCACAGATGATAAAAGTGCTATTTTCATCTAAATCCTTCAAAGAAGTTTGCATAAGAAGTCTACGCTCAGGCTGGGGATGTGGCTCAAGCTGGGGATGTGGCTCAAGCGGTAGTGCACTCGCCTGGCATGCGTGCGGCCCCGGGTTCGATCCTCAGCACCACATACAAACAAAGATGTTGTGTCCGCCGATAACTAAAAAATAAATATTAAAATTCTCTCTCTTTAAAAACAAAAAGGAAGAAGTCTATGCTCATTGTCTTCCCATTCAGACTGGCACTCATTCTGACTGAAATATGTTTTTAAAAGTCCTCAGTGATTTTTACATTATCAAATCCATTGGACTCTTCACATTCTAATCTCACTCTGCATCTTTGTTAAATTTCAACCCCCTGGATCACTTCCCTGCCCTCTCCAACTCTTCTGCTTTTAGTTTCATTAACTCCTGGCTCTCTTGGCACCTCTAAGCAGTCATCATCTGTTTTCTTTCATGAGCTCCATCTCCTACTCCCATTAACACCAATGGTCATGTTTTTGGTCTACCTGACACATTCAGTTAGTGAGATCTCATCAAGTTTCATGGTTCCAATCACCACTTCTCGCTCAGGACCTCTTCCCTGAGCCATCATTTGACTATACATGTGTCTAAAAGACCATTCTATTTTGTTATCCAACAAATAATCCAAACTTAGGGTATACAAATTAAAATACACTTTCTTTCCAAACCTGGAACATCCTTTATTTTGTCTACTGTTTCTCCCTCATCAGCATACATGTACTTCTAAACACATACATCACCTGAACAATTCCTGTTTATCCTGTAAGCCTCATTCAGAAATTCATCTTCCTAGAAAATCTTAGCTGAACTTTCAGGTTGGGACAGACCTGTTTTCTTCAAATTACCCCCAGTATATCTCAATTATGGAATGATACTGTCCAACTATTACATAAATAATTCTTTAGTGTATCAGGCTGTCCCACTGTCCTGTAAACTCCTTAGGGTAGAGATGATGTTTAAACCATCTCTTAGTCTCTGGGATCCTTGATATGTGGTAGAAACTCCATAAGTGCTTGCTTCTTGAATAACGACAGCTACATTTTAGGAAATGGTCTGCTGATAGCACATACCATAAGGAGAGGGAGAAAGACTAAAGGGAAAACCAAAATCTGAACTAAGATAAGATTAATAGCGGGGGCTGGGGATATAGCTCAGTGAATGCTTGCCTTGCATGCACAGGCCCTGGGTTTAATCCCCAGCAACACACACACACATACACACACATATTAAAAAAAAAAAAAAACAGATTAATAGGAATAGAAAGAAGGGGATGGTGGGAGATTTGCTGTGTTAAAATGAACAGGATTGGCCAAAGACTGAATGGAAAGTGAGAGACACCAAGAAGTGGCTAAATGAACTATCTCTGGAGGGGGCAGGGAGAGACACTGGAGACATTGCAATGTGCAGTAAATGTTATCTATTCTGTACCTTTAAACTTTCTAGCATTTCTTTAAGATGGGGAAATTTTAATTCTTAATGCCCTAAGTGGTGATGTTTAAAACCCAAAGGTATTTATCATATGATGATATTTATAGTAGTAGAATGATCAACAATTATATATCCTCTTTCCTTTCTTTCTTTTAGTTTCCTCATTAATCCAAGTTGTGTAAAATGGGAGGCTTTTGATATACTATTGGCTAATGCTGAGAGCCATAGCCAAGTAGGAATGACGCATGGCAATTTCCTTGTCAGTCTACCCAATGTTGCTTAGAGGGAGGACTCTCCATTGTGGAAATGGGCTTGCCTTGGACCCAGGTCATTTGCAGTGATATTGCATGAATGTTTGAGAGTTTTAGTTGAAAGGTGACCCTGCTCAGGGATTAGGGTGGATCCGGGTTTAGGGTGGATCCTGCTGGGAATAGGGTGGTTCCAAGTTTAGGGTGGATCCTGCTGGGAATAGGGTGTATCCTGCTGCCTCGGTGCCCGCTCCTGGAGTTCCCGTGGAGTTCTCACGGGGTTCTGAGAGTATTTGGTATGCAGAGCCCGGTGGAGGGTGAATTTTCCCAGAACCTGCGTGTAGAGCCGGTGAGAGTCGGGAATAAAGAGTTATTGTTTGAATCTACAAGGCGGTGTGGTGGCTCGGTTATTTTGTGCCCAGCCAGACTTCGGCAGGCTAACTTATCAGCACAACACTATATGTCTAGAATATCTAGGATAGTTCATTACTATAACTTGTCAAGCTGAAATAAGGTATGCTAAAGAGTTTCACCACTATTTTTATTATTATTACCTACAATTATATGCAATTCTTAAATAAAGATGTCTGAAGCTCAACTGCTAAGAAAAGTTCCTCCTAATATTTTTAGAACTTGACGCTTGCTGGTGGGACATTCATTTTACTGTGAAGCAAGGCCACCAGAGGTGATGCTTACCTCAGGGAAGGCAGGGCAGGACTAGAGAACAGCCATCCCCAATGCTGGTAATGCTTCCTCCTACGGGAGGGCAATGTGGAGCATAGGAGGAGGGGGGACTGAAGATGCAGGGATTGGTTTGAAAGTCGGGAAGCCAGAGAGGAAATAAAATCAAGCAGGATTAGCAAAAAAACAGAATTTCTAGGCTTATCTGATCTAGTACAAAGAGTTTACCTGGTTCATAATGGAGAATTTCCTCCCGATTCTGTTGTCTGGCAGTCGAAAGCCCTTCTTCCTCATACCATCTTCTGACTCTGACTTAAATACCTTCTCAGGATCCCCTTTCTCTTCTCCCTCAGAGAGTTCCTTTTGCTTCCTCTTCTTTCTCCTATTACGTCTTTCCTTGGCGCTCTTTGAACTGAGTTTAGAAATTTCGGATGAACTCCGAGGAGAGCCAACCCCATCTTCACCTTCTTCCTCAATGGCATCTTCTGAAACAGTGCCTGCAGAAGTGGCCATTGCGGCAGCCTAGAAAGGGGACACAGTAACAGATAGGTTCAGAAGCATTACTTAGGGTCACCTGAGCCAGCCAGTGTGTGGAGCAAATTTCCATTCCATAGCCAGAGAAGAGAGGAGGCCATGGCTAGGTCTAGCTGGCTCTGTTATCTAGGCAAATCTGTCATCTAGCACACAGCCTTAAGTGATAGGATCAGAACCCAATGGTGACAACTTTGGGTTTTATTCTTTTTTTGGTAGAGCGGGGGTACCAGGCCTGAACTCAGGGGTATTCAACTACTGAGCCAAATCCCCACTCCTATCCCCAACCCGATTTTGTATTTTATTTAGAGATAGGGTCTCACTGAGTTGCTTAGTGCCTCACTGTTGCTGAGGCCGGCTTTGAACTAGTGATCCTCCTTTCTCAGCCTCCTGAGTCACTGGGATTGCTGGAGTGTGCCACTGTACCTAGCATGTGTGTATATAAATTATTAGGGTAACAGGTCACTTTCAAGTTTTACTTTTAATATTTGGCCTATTTCTCCTTTTTTTTTTTTTTTTTTTTTTTTGGTGTGGTGCTGGGGATTGAACCCAGGGTCTGGTCCATGAAAGGCAAGCACTCTACCAACTGAGCTATATCCCCAGCCCCTGTTTCTCCTTTTAAATTGGAAACAATACTCTATGACCATAGAGTATCTCTGAAGGGGATCTGAGGGTGCAGCTTTGTGGTAGAGATCATATTTAGTATATGGAGGACCCTGGGGTGAATCCCAAACATTTAAAAAAAAAAAAAAAGAGGCTATGCTTATATGAAGAACTATTTGAACTGCTCTGGTTACTTTTTTTTTTTTTTTCCCAGTCAACAAACGAGTTGAACACTGAAGAGATGAGATCTTCAAAAGATCATATTAACACATACTAATAGCCAGGCATGGTGATGCATGCTGTAGTCCCAGGTACTTGGGAAGTTGAGGCAGGAGGACTGCTTGACCCCAGGAATTCAAGTCAGCCTGGGTAACAGAGTGAGACCCTGTCTCAAAAAAAAAAAAAAAAAAAAAAAAAAAGAAAAAGGAAAAAAAAAAGATCATATTAACATATTAACAAACGATTTGGCCATTAAGACAAAAAAGAATAATTGGATTAACCATCTGCAGTTGTTACTTGGGTTATTTTAATTAGATCAATGACTTCTATTTGATAATGTACTTAGGAAAGATCAATTGCAGTGGCAATCAGATGGAGCCTTAATCTCTATGATTTGGCAGGAAGGTCTGCTTCAAAAAATTAATCACCCACCTGTGCCTCTTCCTGTTGCTTCTTAAGTTGCTCCAACATTGCTTTGAACTCAGCCTCTTTTTGTTCTGCCTCCTCCAATGTTGCCTGATTCTGCTCTTCATAAGCCATGGCCACCACAGCCAAGATCAAGTTCACCAGATAGAATGAGCCCACAAAGATGACCAAGACAAAGAAGATCATGTATGTTTTTCCAGCTGCTCGTAAGGTCTGCAAAGATAAAACCATTTTTTTGAGTCACTTGCATCAAATGAAGTAGGCTGAAAACACCTTGTGAGCCTAGTTTCTCTGTAGGGGCACCATCTGCAATTTGAATAGGACGGTCCTTTCTTGTGTGGTACTCTTTCTTACTGAAGAGAAACACATCCTCAGTGGCCAAATGGATTTCCTTATGCTTAACTCACACTAAGTGGCAGTAGTTCCTCCTATCCATTTTGTGTATGAGGGATCTTTCTCCATTCCCAAATACTTCCTATAAACTCCTTTCATATAACAATGCTTTATTCATTTGTTTAAGGAAAACACATCCTGAATTAAGAATTATATTTTACTTCATCAGTTAGTTCTAAAATAATATGACATGAAGGACTGGAGAGGTAAAGAGAAAAAGGGAAGAGGATTGATCCTAGACCTATTCCTTTCACTAACAGTGAGCAAATGAACATCAAAGAACAATTGGGTTTTAGGTTATGTAAATGAAACCCACTATTCCTGAGTTTTCATTTTCATCCTTTCAATCCCCAAAACTTAAAGGAACTTATTGTCAATCATAAATGTTTCATAAGAAAGAGTCAAACCTGAGGGAACTGTCCAACAGAAAAATAAGAACTGATTTGGGGATTTGAACTAGATGCTTCCCTGAAAGAGGATCCTTCATGCATGAGGAGGGCACGTTTTTTATTCTTAAACAAACTGGCATCACCAAATGCCAGAGTCAAAAAAAAACCAATGGACTGTTGTGGAATTTCTAAGCCGAAAGACCCTTAGCATAAATCTACCCTACAACTAGCAAAATTATACAATGTGTTTAGTCATCAATATGGCCTGATGGAATGAGACTGACCTTATCTCTACCATTACAATCTGTTTGAACAAGTCCAAGTATATTATAAATCTCAAAAATGCTGACATATTTAAACTCCAAAGCCCTTTTGGATAAAAATTTCATCTTACACAAACAGGTATTTAGTATTTCTTAAACAGATGTCCTAAGCCCTGAAACCCACACTGCAAGTGGTAAAACAATAGGAATTAAGTATAGACAGCAGATTCCCAAGCCAGGCAAAAGCTAACAGTGCTACAAGCTTCTACAACTATACATGACTAAGTATTTGAGAAATAGGGATGAGAACTGAGAGAATTCCCAGTTCTAAATATTATAAAGCAATGGACGGTGGGCAATGCCATCCTCAGATCCTGTTTAACATCTTCACTAAAGGTCACTCACACAGAACGTCCCCCAAGCCCACGCTGCCCCATGTAGACTCTACTGCCAAAGAAAAAGAAGTATTATTTACCAACTGATACAAGTTTTCCCAGTAGTCCTGGGTCATAAGGCGAAACAATGCCAAGAAGGCCCAGCTGAAAGTGTCAAAGCTTGTATAACCATAGTTAGGGTTCCTTCCTGCCTTCATACACTGGTATCCTTCTGGGCACTGCCTGAAGAAAGAAAGGGAAATTCAGGACTTTTCAACATAATTCCACAAGCCATAATCTTAAAGATATTAAATAACATAATTTTATTTACTCCATGGCCTTATAGGTAGGAAGTAACTATTTACAAAGCCAAGCCAACAAACTGGAAGAAGAAAAAAAAAAATGAGAGAGAGAACATAAGTAGCTAGTCAATTTCGGAGCAGAGCCTATATCAGAATCACATGGTATGTCCCTTAAAAATGCAGATTTCTATGCTTACCCCAAAGCTAAGAGCTGAAAGCTTTGGAAATGGGATCTAGGAACCTGCACTTTTGAGATATGAACTTTTTTCTTTCCCCCAATATTGGTGATTGAACCAGGAAATGTCAGACAAGTGTTATCATTAAGTTACATCCCTAGCCCCGGGTAATTTTTTTTTTTTTTTTTGTACCAGGGATAAAACCCAGGGACTCTCAATCACTGAGCCACATCCCCAGCCCTTTTTAAATATTTTATATAGAGATAGGGTCTCACTAGTTCTTTAGGGCCTCACTAAATTGCTGAAGCTAGCTTTGAACTCATAATTCTCCTGTCTCAGCCTCCTGAGCTGCTGGGATTACAGGCATGGGCTACTACACTCAGCTCCCAGGTAATCCTTATTCATGACAAAATATGAAAACCACTGTCCCAGATTCATATCAATCTGTAATTCAATAAAATTCAATTTAGCTATTCCCCCAAGTGACAAATGCCTATATGTTCCTTTTAGTTGTCTATGTTCTTTTAACACTTGCTGTGTTGACCTAAGTCATAATGGAGATTTTTGGTAACCTCAGTTATACTATTCTTCTGTTTTTGGATTCACCTGTTTTGTTTTCAGTGAAATCTTTAATATCTACTTCAATATAAAAATTAAATGGATTTCTTGTTGTCATGGTCATATTAAAGCACCAGTTCCTAAGGGACCAATATACTCTGAATAATAACACTACTACTGTACATTTGAATAGCTCTCTGTTTACAAAGCATTTTTCATGTATGTTATCTAATTGGCTCCTTATAGTAAACTCATGAGGAAGACAGAACATGACCTATTAAATCTATCTTATGTTTACTGAAATTAAGGCTCAGATAAGTTAGGCTTGGCAAAGGTCTAAAGCTAAGAGAAGCAGGACTCAAATACTATGTTGTTATCTGTTCTTTCCCCCATGTCAGGTCTAGACCATTTCTGGGTCATCCTTGGATGCTAAACTATCACTAAGATGGTGTCCTTATTTTACATTGTATTAACTGTGTTAAGATAGAACAAGGGGAATCTATAAGAGGTGGTAAGCTACCTGGTGTTATAGATTTTCTCTTTATCCTTTAACATCGTTAATTTTTAATTTGAGACTACAGGTACATTCACCTTCTGATGAAATGTCATCTTTGGATGGACAAATATAAAACAGTAGGAAAACTGAGTTAACTAATAGGTAAGGTCTGATTAGGGTTTATTTTATGAGTTCAAAGAAAAGTGGAAACATTGCCCGTTTACATCCAACTAAAAATAGGCATATTATTTTAAGGAAGGAGAATAAAATTAGGTGAGCTACTTACCCAGCATCTGAACTGTTCCCACAGAGTAAAGGTTCCAGCATGCCAGGAACCGTGTAAAAATTTGCTAGAAAAATTTGAAGAGGCAGGAAATGAAAAGGCAAATTGAAGTGAATGAGAAAATAAGGTTATACTGTTCCTGGCTAGCCCCAACAGAAATAGCTATTGATTTTTAGCTCATATAAATCTTTTCCACCAGCAGTTGAAAGCTGATGAGAAGTCCTTCCCATTAATGATTTTCCTATAGATATCTACAAATTTAAAGTGCTCCCCTGAAGCCCTCCATATAATACTCTTCTCATCACATATATATTAGGTTTTGGTACCTGAATAAAAGGGGTCTAAAGTAATTTTCTGAGTTCTTTATCCCTTTAGACAATTTTAATCTTGTACTGTTATGGTTTAGATATTAGGTGTTCCCCAAAAGCTCATGTATGAGACAATGCAAGGTGGTTTATGAGAGGCTTACCCCAAGCAGGAATTAATCTCCTGACAGGGGTTAACTAAGTGGTAACTGCAGGCTGGTAGGGTGTGGCCGGAGGAGGTGGGTCATTGGTGGTGTGCCTTTGGGGTATACATTTGGTGAGTTGAGCTTAGACTCTCTCAGATTCCTGATGTGACATCCTGGGCAGCTTTCCTCTGCCACACTCTTCCACCATGATGTCCTGCCTCACCTTGAGCCCCAGGGAATGAAGCCTGCCACTCATTCTCAGTCCCTATGGATTGAGACCTCTGAAACTGTGAACCCCCAAATAAATTTTTCCTCCTCTAAAATTGTTCGGCAGGTCTTTCAGTCATAGCAGTGAAAAAGCTGGCTAAAACATCTTATGACTTATTTTTATCAAGATATTCTAGAATTCCTCACTACTTGGTCACTAGTTACCATGCCCTATTTTAAACTAGAAGGCAGGTATTCCTGAAATCTCCTTTGCAACATTTTCTAATGGTTACTTAGCTGACTTCAAATTGTATCTTGGAGATTGCCTGACTCCCTAGACCAGGTCAATTACTAATGTCTTACCAATTAATATTAAAAAAGCCTGAGTTCTATGCATAGGCATATCTTGGACTAAATATTTAACTACCCCAGGCAACCTTGCAAAGGAAGGAAGAATTTGGACCAAGTTTTTAAGCCTGAATTTTAGAGCAAAAGTTTGTGGGTACATGTGAAGTGCTATAAAGTTTCATTTGGTTTCAAGGGGTAGAAAAGAGAAAAAGGGAGAGAGTGCTGGCATTTGAGTTTCTGAACACAATCTGGCCTTGGGGAAAGGAAATGACCTCCTGAGGCTGCTTCTGGTAACACTGCCATTCCTTTCTGAGCCCAACTATTTTTTTAAGCCCAGTGGTGGCTCTGACTGCATAGATGGGTTTTTCCCCTTGTAGGGGAGGAGCCACCTACTTTTATTGTTGATATATTCTTCCCAATCAAAGCCTTTGGTGCCATTTTCAAGATAGCTCTCATTGAAGTTTATGGGCCACACGACACACTTGTTTCGCAGGTTCCCCATGAACAGCTGCAGTCCGATCAGGGCGAAAACACTCAGGCAGAACACAGTCAGGATCATCACATCTGACAGCTTCTTCACAGACTGAATGAGGGCGCCAACAATTGTCTTCAGGCCTGAAGAGACAGTGCACCCAGAACCAGAGTCACTTCAGAGCCCCTCCCTCCCAGCCTCCCCCTTAGCCTGAGCTTCTACTCCTCCCCACAGCATCCTTGAAATATGCCCAATGTGTCTTTATACCACGAGAATAACGATGTCAGCAAAATGAGGGGTTTCCAGAAGTTATAATCCTTAAAAAGCTAAAGAAAGCTTCTTCTACCAACATGTGGCTCCTTTTTTTCTGAACGTACTTTCCTGTCTTGGACAACTTTTTAGTTCCCCAAATGAGCCAGGTCCTCAGTGCTTCTCTCAGGCTGACTGCTTCCTTTCAGCCCTTGTCTTACCTGACTATCTCCTTTCCTTCAGGTCTCAGCACAGAAATCATTTCCCTCAGAAGCCATCCTGCCTTCCCAGCTCTTCTCCCTCCCCCACCACTGTTACTATCTTAATAGCACCTTACACTTTCCTCTGTGGTGTTTATCATGGCTATAATGCATTTCTTATGTCTGTATCATTCACAGCCGAATCTATAGCGCCTGATCCACAGTAAATATTTGTTGAAGAAACAAATGGAAAAATCAGGAATTAAGGAGGCTTCCAGGTTGGAAAGGAAACAACTGGGAAATTTAAAAGCCAATAAGAAGCAAGAAGGCATAATAATATTTTCCCATCAGTTCTGGAAATGCCAACATATTTAAAAGGTTAATTATTAATTCTTTATTTATAATTTGCCTTTACATTTAAAAGTATACCTTGTCTATATCACATTTATAACCTGCTTGCTACAATGCCCCCCACCCCTTTTTCTCTGGCTTAGATTAAAAATAAAAACCATTTATAATCTATTTCATTTTAATTTTATTGTAATCTATTTTAATTTTTGAGTGCAAGCCACTGGTTCAAATTTAAACCTAAAGAAGGTAGATTTTTTAACTGCACAGGGAAAGATCAGTGATGGAAGATGGAAAAACATGGTTATAGATTCATGCTGTTTGGATTCAAATGAGTCTACATGTGGCTCTCCTTGGAATTCCCAACATTGTGCTAACACAGGACATGGCCAACAGAGCACTGATACTTCTGGTGGCCACTGTACCAAGATGAGCAGGAACCAGATACTGAGCCCTAACACCCAGGCCTCAGGAAGGATCTTGTTTCTGATCTACTTCTGAAGGTAAGAATATCAGAGTGTCATTTAAAGTAATCCTAACCTTGGCTTTGAAGTATACAGTTGGGCAAATCACTGCTAATTTTAATCAAAGGTATGCCATTTACTTCTGGGACCCGAGCACCTAACCTTTTGGATCCTGTTTTTTTCATCTTTAAAATGAACATAATTAAGGCTGGGGGTATAGTTCAGTGGTAGTGTTTACCTATCATGTACAAGGCTGGGTTTGATCCTTAGCACCACCAAAAATTAAAATAAATAAATAAGTGAATCTTCATTTATTTATTTTTAAATTACAGCTGAATATCATAGGTCTACTGTGAAGATTAAGCATACTTCATATAACACATTTAACAAAGCACCTGATGCACAGTAAGTAATTCAAATGTTATTACTGTAATAATTTTCTGAACCTCATCTACATAAAGAGATTTACAATACTAATGCCATTGAGTTGCTGTAAGGTTTAAATAAGACAATGAGTATAATAAATATCTAGTACAGTGCTTGGCACACAGCTGGCATGCAGCACTCATTAGATACCGTTACTATACAGACATTTCCTTCCTCAAAGGGACATGCTTGGAAATGACACAATCATATGATGGTGGCATGGACTTGGGTCATCTCTTGCTGTATCCTGTAATATCCACCTACAATTTTCAAAGTTAAACCCAACAGAATTCTCTGCATAGCTATGTATGCTGTGTCTAGCCTGGGACCTGGCACAAAGCAGGTACTTAAGGAATTTTTATTAAAAGAGTAAATGAGAAATTTCTCTCTTTTTATACAATATCTTGAAAGGGATCTAAGGGGAATTAAAGAGAGAAGCGTTAAGAATTAGACCACAGTGCTGCTATGGGTGCAGAAGCCTAGGCTTTCTTACAGAGTATCTTCCTTGAAAACTGTGGCCACCAAAAGATTAGGAAGGGCTTGCCTGGGCTCCTAATCCGATTCCTTTCCTCCTCACGTGGCTGTGCAGAAAAAGCACCAGATGGGGAATCAGAAAGCAGGAATTCTGTCCTGGCTCAGTCATTATTTATGACCCACCATGTTTCAAAACCAACTTAAGATCACCTCTCCAAGCCTCATTTTCTCTTCTATAGAAAACAGTGCTACATGGCAGCGGGCAGTGAAGGAGAAGCTGAAGAATCTTCTCTGGAAGTCTTTAAAAATCATGTAGGTCTTCTGTTTACAAAGTCAAAAAGTTATTTAAAAGGGGATATTTGGATGGGTTACTGAACAATGTTTTTAAGATTTTGTTTCTTGATTTCTTCAAAAGGAACTCATGCAGCTGCCTTGTCCTGAACAGTTAAATTACTTATCTGAACACTTTTAGTCTTTTTTATTGCTGTTTTAAGTTTTTTGTTTGTTTGTTTGTTTGTTTTGGTGCAGTACTAAAGATTGAACCCAGGGCCTCAAGCATGTTAGGCAATGGTTCTTCCCCAGAGGTACATCTCCAGCCATCTATTGCTTTTTTGACTGAACTGAAAAATATGTGTGAGTTGACATTTGTATTAGAAATAAGTTTAAAACTACGAAATAACCAAAGCAATCCATTGGCTATAACACATATTTTTTTTTTTTAAAAGCACACAATTTTAGCAAGAGTCTGATATAATTTCCTGAGAATTCTTTGGAAAGCTCTAGGCCTACAAAACAAGAAATTCCAGGCCATAAGCAGCAACTATCCCCTGTTCACTAAGGATGGGCTCTCAGCACCTTGTTTGTACCTTCTCTGAGTAGTTACAGATGACAGGGTAGACATCTGATCTAAATCCAGATCCTTTCCTACAGGGATCTGGAATAGGACAAGAGACAGTTGAGCAGTCTTCATATAATGGTAATATATAAATATATGAGAATGGTATATATAAATACTCTGTCATTATACTGAGATGTGTCTGAGAAGTAAAGGAATTTAGTGCACAAATGCACAAAGAGAGGGAAAGAAGAAATAGACACATGAGAGAGAGAGAGAGAGAGAGAGAGAGAGAGAGAGAGAAAGAGAGAGATATTACTTCCTGGAAACAGGCTTTTGGGCTCTGCATTCTTTTTTTTTAAAGAGAAAGTGAGAGTGAGAGAGAGAGAGAGAATTTTTTTTAATATTTATTTTTTTTTTAGTTTTCGGCAGACACACATCTTTGTTTGTATGTGGTGCTGAGGATCGAACCCGGGCCTCACGCATGCCAGGCGAGCGCGCTACCGCTTGAGCCACATCCCCAGCCCCGGGCTCTGCATTCTTGTTTCTACTCTGTCTTCCTGAGGTTCAAGACCATTCCAGTCTTGGGATTCTCTAAAGCACTCCTATATGCTTTTACTTGCGCAGAGATACTCAGCGAATACATCAACCATGCATGACACTCATCATTTCCTAGAGATGGACAAGAATGTTCATAAACTGCTGGTTTAACATTTTTTATCCAGAAACCAGATGTCATTACTGAGGAGATCTGGAAACATAAGTTCAGAAAGCTAAAAAAACAAAAGAACCAAAAAAACAACAAAATAATTTCCCCAAGTGTTTTGAAGCCTGAAACTTAGATTGTCTTCTTGGTGACAGTTCATGTAGCTATCAAGTAGTTTAAAGTGGAAACTTGTTAGAAATCCTATTCAGGTGCTTGTGTTTCACTGGGGCTCAGAGAAATGAATTTTAATTGAGCAAGAAAAATTACTACATAACATTAACCATCTAAAAAGTTTACTCTCCACGATTCTTGTCCAGGTCCAGCACAAAATTAGAAGCACAGGGAAGAAAGATAATGGGCTCAATACTTGCGGATGAAGCAAACAAATGTAAATAGTCACTGAATTATATACTGGTCTCAGCCAAGACTCTTCTTTCTTCCATTAGGGTTGATAATTTAGAGTGACCACATCTGCAGAGACATCCATGTCAATTTATGAAGATGACACCATCCATACATTTCTTAAGCTCAAGCTCTATAGTCCTGCCCAACACAATAATATATCCAAGCAAAAGCACTCCTGCCACCATCAACATGGATCAGCAAAGCAAGAAGTTGCTAGTAGAATTCCTGACCCCACACAAGCAAGAATGAAGAGTGCTGCTGTTGTGGCTGTGAAGAGAAGCTGTGTCTTGCTTTTTCTATTGGCTCACAATACCACATGCTAGAACAAGCAAGATACTGACTGAAAACCGATTATCCAAAACAGCAGAATGCTCCTTCCAACGACTCCTACACAACAGAGTGTGCAACAGAAGCCATGTGGGGGCAAATTGGACAGCAAGAACTCTTGGAAGAGGCTAACATTAACTAGCACTGGTATGTGTCTGAGCAGAAGTTAATACATTTACTACAGACCACAAACGGACAGCTGGATCTAATGTACAGAAAATTTAGCTATCAGAGAGGAAGTCAGGTACTTCAGGAATTTTGGGAAACAGGTGAAGCCAGGTCACTGTTACAGGATTCTACTCTACTCTATGTCCAAAGGCACCTCGGATTTTCCTGTGACCTTCCATAATGCCCAACAATCCCATGAACAAACAAAGAAAGCCAGCTTATGTGCTATGTCCAGAGAAATCAGCTATGTATGTTGGGATCAAAATCTTCCCTTGTTGTCATGACCAGATTATAAATAACAAAATCATCAATTCTCATTCCTCAGTAACTCAGGCTGAGAAATTTAAGTGGTTTGAAGCAATGTGAGTTAATTCCCTCACAAAATTAATACTGGAATAAGCCTCAGTAGCAGTCATAAGCAGTTCTCAGAGAAGGTGAAAGAGCAGCTTCCCAGTTTCCAGAGCCTGGCTGGGACCCTGATAAGTCCCAGGGATAAAAGAGAATCTCATCAATTTTCCTGTTGCAAATGCAATCTTCATAACAACAGTTCTTGAAGGTTTTTCACATCAACATAAAAATAGATGAATAAAGGTACTGTGTCTATCTACAACTAAAACATATATATATTTATATATATATATGTATGTATGTAATTTGGGAGCGATTTGGGGTCTATAGATTTACTTATAAGACCAGATTCACATCACAAAGTATAATCCAAGCTAAACTGGCCCTCAAGGGTGGGTCAGTGGGATCTTGTGACTCTTCAGTGCTTTTCCACTTAGGAACACTATTAAATTTTAGTTATCTTTCCTAGGAAGCAATGTGGAAGGAGAAATATGAAACCATCAAGATGAATAACTGGAATATTTTAAAAGAAAAAATGATCTAGGTGTTATGGTACATGCCTGTAATCCCAGCTACTTGGGAGGCTGAGACAGAGAGAACACAAGTTCAAGGCTAACTTTAGCAACTTAGCAGACCCTGTCTCAAAATAAAAAAATAAAAAGGATGAGGAATGAAGCTCAGCATTAAAGTACTTTGGGTTCAATCCCCAGTACTAAAAGAGAAAAAGAAAGAGTCTGAATATAGTTTTGAACCACTTTTTTCTATTCCCCTTTATTATGTAGCAGAAATTGCCACATTTACTGAACACACACTTAAACAAAGTACTTTTTTTGTGAATACTGGGATGGGAAGAAGAAGGGCTCATCATTTCCCCTGCTTCCTACCTGATACCACTGGATATAAGTAAAAGTAACAGAAACAAGAGCAGAGATGCAAAATATCCAAGAGAAAAGTAATTAAGAAACTGCAACCCTAAGAGAGAGAGATGGTATAAAATCAGCACTGGTGAGCAGCAGGTAACTAGTGCTTTGGGGGAGCCACTTAAATGACTGAAATGAAAAGGAACTGACAAGTGTGGCTCTCCCAACTGGTTCTATTTAGGTTATTAAGTGTTACTCTCCAAGAGAAGCCTGAGAATCCTCCATTGGGAATCTTACCCTATCTTAAGGTATGTTAGTCCTGAGGCATATGACCAAAGCATGCAGATGATAAAACTTCTGACAAAGTATAAGTTCATAAATACAAACTGAAAACAAAGTTTTAAGACATAAACTTTTAGGCAGAATATTTTGACGTCAAATTGAACCTGGCAAATTCCAGGCCAAAGCAAATTTGGAAAGGGTCTACTCTATCATTGACCCTTTAAGCATCCAGTGTGCTCACCCTGTTCTCTAAGCTGTTAACTCTGAAAAAAAAAAAAAGAAGAAGAAACCATGAGAGATTTTTATCCAGGTCTTGAGCTGGTAAATAAAAGGGCTCAGAAAGTGGGGTTTGGGCTTTTCTAAGCTGCACAAAGTCTCTTAAAGTAAAGCATTTCTTATACAAAACACCAAACCTAACTGATGTACCTTACTCTCTAATATTCTGGAGTCTTGGCAGCCCTGATACATTCAAAAAATCTACTAGATAACTCAGAGGAAGGTCAGTGTTGGCCCAGGTGAGATAGGGTGAGTGCTCTAGGAAAGGAAAAGTTCTCATGAAGGGAGCTGAGACTTGAACATCCTGCAGACTCTGTGTCAACTCTATGATCACTCTCACTTCCATTCTGTTTCTGGCAGATCTGGCAAAGCCTAATCTAACTAGGAACAGGAGAAGGCAAGAAAAGCAGCAGTTCCATTGAAGTGCCCACAAGAAAATTTGGGCAGGCAAATTTTGGTTTGTACTAAGGGGCACAGTGTCCTAGTTCTACAACACTGGAATCAAAATAACTTAGATTTTCAAAAATGAGATAGGCTCAGATCCACTGACTCACACTGGTGCCTGGCCTTGGAAGAAGACCTGTGTAACTGGAAGGTAGGGAAAGGACAACAGCACTCTGAGGAAGACAGAATGATAGAAAAGTTCAGAATTTTACACGGGATGAGAAAAGCCTCTCCGTAAGGGAGACGTCAACTCCTGGATTTCTCTTACTAACTTTAAAAGGTAGAATGGGGAGCAAAAGGATTGGAACTAAAAGTCACGCTTTAATTCAAAAACCCAATATACCTTTTACTGACAGTGATCTATAATTAGCTTTACTATCCTTAAAGTTATTCTCCATCCCAGTTAGCTTCCCAAAGCCAGCTCAACTGGGGATGCTTCTAGAAATAGGAACCTGGGAATCTATTTCAAACTGTGAGGCTGATGTCTAAATCTTGACATAAACCCTTTCTTTGGGCTTAGGTTTCTTTATGATAATAACTGTTACTACTACAACCATTTATGGAGCACTGCTATGGGCCAGGCACTGTATTATAGTCAACTGTATGTTTATGTATTTATATGTATTACTACAGTATTAAGTAACATGATCAAGAGTTACCTTGCAGAAATGCCCTGGTCAAAAGGTAACCATAGAGCAGAGACAAAGACAGAAGCAATGAGCTAGACTAGAGATAGCATCTGCTGCCCCAGTTTGTGAACAGAATGCAGCTTTCCAATTTAATTCTGGAAGAGAAGTTTTGAGATCACAAGAACATAAAGAGACAGATGCCTTGCAGAGTACGCTGGGGGAAATGAACAGAAAACAGAGGATCATATTTTAAAGGGGCCAGAGGAAGAGAGAGACCAAAGGAAAAATGAAAGTAAAGATGTGGCACTCCATCTCCCTCATAAAATAAGGCCTGCCTAAGGAATGTTCCTTGAGGTTACTGGTAAATCACATTCTAAGTCTGCCCTCTCCAGGATTCTACCTTGATTCTTCCCCCTCTTGCTATCTGATAATGTTGAAACAGGGAAAAGAGAAATATTTCTGAGGCAGCCACAGGGGATGAGGCACGTGATCAGAATGGATTGTCCCTGTTCTCTGTACTCCTATTTCTACAAAACTACTGTGGAAAGCCTGGTCTCTGGGGGACTCTTCTTTTAAAATCCTAAATACAACTAAAATCCAAAGAGCAACCACATTGTCTTAAGCTTTGGCAAGTTACTGCTAGTCTATCTTAGGCTCACAAGACTAACAAAGTACTAAACTAAGTACCTTTCCTTCCAATTTTAAGGCTAGTCTTTAGGAAGAGAAGTATTAGCCAGTTGCAATGATTTAAGTTAAATTAAGGGATCTTAATCTGGGGTCCACAGATGGGCTTCGGGGGGGTCTGTCAACTTTCATCTGATTCTCAAAAGGATCCAAAATCTTCAAAAGGTTAAGAACCACTGGGCTAACTCAACCAGGACCAAAAAGAAAAAGGCAAAAATTTTAAAGAGATTGTCAATCAACTACCTCTCAAACCACCCTCCAGATTTCTTTTCCCTTCAAGTTTCTATACTTTTATTTGCCCATATCTTTAGTTGTATCTTATCTTACCTTTGAATTTTTTAAAAATAGCACCTGTATAAGTTGTTATTGGGATTTAGGTTTGAGAATGATCCCTGAATATATGTACAGTAGATGCTACTGGTTCTCATTCTAGTGAAACAGACAGCAGTAGAACAGGATAAAGTTCAGTTCACTAACTCCAAGGCTCTTAAGTTTTTCTACAATTCTGGACTAGTTAACTGTGTAGGTCTCATCTGCGATTAAATAATTCCATTAGTACAGTAATAATAAAAACATAATTCTTTGAATAACATTCCATCAGCAAACCATGCTATAGGAAGCCTAGAAATCACAAGCAATGGAATGATGGCACATGTTAAAATTACTGTAATTCCATGAGGCTGGGGTTCAAATGATTTATATACAAAGAGACAGCTAGCTCTACGATGATTGTTTTCAGATATTGTAAGATCCAAGGGTTTCTTAAGCACATGCTTTTTCAAAAGCATGGATGAAATGGGGGCTGCATGCCTGCAAGCACAGTCAAAAAAACCTGCCTAGGGATCAAAAGGCCATTCCAGAGAATGTCTCTCAGGAAAAGCATGCAGAATGCAGAATGCAGAGCATATCAACCGTGCTCACACCAATTTAGAATGTGGTGAACAAAATGAATGAAGGGAAAAAAGAGATGCAGCAAGGTCAGTCTTGTGCATACATTTTCTCACCTGGAATTACAGAGATAGTTTTCAAAGCTCGGAGAACCCTGAATGTTCTCAGCGCTGAGACATTGCCCAGGTCCACAAACTCTGTCACATATCTGTAGTAAGGGAGGTCACACACAGACACAAATGACAAACACAGACACAAACACAAACACCAAAGGAAAAAACAAAACCACAACAAAACAAAAAGTACAATACGTCACGTCAGGGCCCTAACCCAACACCTAACACCAACCCCAGGCCATCTTACCTGGAATTACCGAAATAGTTTTCAAAGCCCTCAGTACCCTGAAAGTGCGCAGAGCTGAAACATTGCCTAGGTTTACAAACTCTGTTATATACCTGCAGAATCAAACCAAAGTTAACTTGTAATGGTACCACTGGGTGAGGGTTTGAGAATGGGGGAAAGAAAGGGTCTTATATACAAGGTATGATTTCATTTTTTCCCTGAAAAAGAAAAATTTCAAAATATAAACATTTAAGTAACATGTCTTTAAAAAAAAAAAAAAAAAAAAAAACGGGCAAGGAGAATTCAAAAGTGTAACTGAAAGAATCACTCTAAGTTTCTAGGATTCACTCTCTTAATCAGCAGTGATGTGCGGATCCCGATCAGAATCATTTTACTGTCAGGTCAATTACATTTTTTAGTAAAAAGGAAAGCCAGGAAGTAGCAGAGACTCATATCCCCAAGTTTTGTGAACAATTTCTTAAGAAAGGGAAACAAACTTCTGCAGCAGGAGCCCCACAAAAACAAATCTACATTAATGTAGCTCCCTAGTTAATGACAGCAAAAATGCCTAAATGGCTGCATATATGACTTATGCAAGAGTGGTATGCGTATGTTTCCAGTCATGTGCACAGTTGAAATTGTTTCCTGTGACAGATAAAAACAGGGCTCAGGAAAATCCAGATCATGAACAAATACTGAGTTGAGAGCCCATTCTATCACCAGCTCTGTGCCTACAAAGACACTAAGATTTAAAATGAACACCAATGTGTATTTCACAATGCTGGAGAGCTAGAAATTTCATTATATAACGGAAAGTCCAAGTTCCACTTTCAAATATTCAATGCATAACACTCACTCACATTTTACAGGGGAAATACATCTTTCTATGCAATGCTCAGACCCATACATGTGCAACACACTCTTTCTCATACATCTGTGCACACACATAAAAGCTAGGCACCACCCCCCATCACATCCCCAAAACACAAAGCACTTTCACACCCTGAAAATAAAAATACTAAAGCCTGCTATAACTTTTCTATCATCAAGTGAGTTTCCCAAGAGACATTTTATTGCTAAAGCAACACAAGTTACCAGGAGCACCTAGCATACCTATGTGGAGTTCTACAGTCTCCAGTGACAGTTCAAAATTCTGGTTAGTAACTTCAGGAAGTGCCAATTTGGATACCGGGGCTCATGATTTGACTCTAAAGTGTGTTTTGAAGTCTGCAACACCTGGACAGCCTCATTAAATCCCATGCGATAAGACGTGCCCAGAAAACACATTTTCACCTCTAAAACATTCTGAATCTTCACAGAGGCCCCCTAGTGATAGGTGTGCCAATCATGGTCAATGTCATAAGAAGGAATAAAATATAAAAATAAAATATGAGTATCCATGGGTAATATATCCTACTTTCCCTCCCAGCTGTAAAGACTCTGCTCACCTTCTCCACATAAACACACTGTGGCTGCTGTTGCCTGAAAAACAAAAGGTCCTCACAAGCAAGAACCATAAGCACAAGTTCCCGTGTGTACCCATTGATTCCCCTTACCACTGAGTCCACAAGCTCTCACTTGCAAACACTGTCATGCAAACATCCAGGAGAATCTTCTGCCACACACGTGATCACACCCACAACACCAATAAAGTAATCAGAGAACTTACGCCATCATGATGACACTGAAATCTAACCAGTTCCACGGGTCCCGTAAAAAGGTAAAGCCATCTATGCAGAAACCTCTTGCAATGATTTTCACTAGTGATTCAAATGTATAAATCCCTGTGAACGTGTACCTGTCAAAGAAATGGAGAACTTAAGGCAACTTCTGAACATACACAAACTTCAAATGAACCTTTCAAGATCAAACCTGCCTGAAGTATGGCTTTGCAGAAGGGCAGAAAGGGCATCGCCAAAGTGGTAGGACAGAATGAGGAGGAGAAAGGAGCACTCTGAATGAAACTCACTGAAATGCCCACACCTAGAACTCTGGAATGCTGGGGGTGATATGTCTTTTTTTTCTTTTCTTTTCTTTTTTTTTTTGGTACCAGGGATTAAACTCAGGGGCACTTGACCACTGAGCCACAACTCCAGCCCCATTTTTGTTTTTTTTTTAAGAGACAGGGTCTTACTGAGTTGCTTAGCCCACCTCACTTTTGCTGAGACTGGTTTTGAACTCTCCATCCTTCTGCCTCAGCCTCCCAAGCTGCTGGGACTACAGGCGTGCGCCACCTTGCCCAGCTTGAGTGATATTTCAAGGAAATAATAATGTACTGCCATCTAGTACATCATCATTTTAGAGCAGGTGAGGAGTCCCTCAGAGCTACTTTTAACCCTGGAGGAGTCAAAAGAGAAAAAGAGTACCATCAGGAATTAAAGACACAATACAGTGACAGAGCCATGGGCAAACACTGGCTAGCACAAGAAGGGCAGAGGTGGGAGCAGACTTTGCTCTTTTTAAGAGTTGACTTTTATAACTATTTCCTAAATTCCACATGTATCCTCACCCTTCTCCATGAAATAGTGTCAATAACTATTCTTCTTTTCCTTGATGGGTAAACTGGCAAAACACAAGATTCAATGACTTAAAAATCCTTAAAGCAAACAAGGAGACAAATAAATGGGCTACTTACTCCACATTCTTCGACCAGTCTGGAGGGTTACTAAAAGTCATGAATACACAGTTGGTCAAAATAGTGCACATAATGATCATGCTAAATACTGTAGAGAATAGTCAAGGGGGAATACACAAAATCTGGCTTTTTAAAAGAAATTTTTCTCAGGAAACAAACACATTTTGCATTGGATATCATAAGATCTCAATCAATAGACAGAACAGAGACAAATCACAGAAGAGAAAAAGGCAAGTTGATAATGAAAATTGCCTACCATCACCAACAAAGAAAGCCACTGTGTATTTCCACAGGGTTGTTACTGTTCTACATCTTTTGGATAAAATATTTTCTCCTCTTACCACTTTCACTTCAACTACAGAATAATCCTCTAACTACCTTAACTTTGTGTATAGAAATTATCAGTCTACTATACTTAAAAATCATCAGGTGAAAAAATAAATCTTTACTATTCAGTATTCAGTTATTGTTAATTACCTTACATAAGTAATTATTTGAAAATCTACATATAATTAATGGTCCTGCCCCCCCCAGTCCTTCCAGAGGGCTGAACTGTCTTGGGATCAAGGTGCTAGCCAGTGTGCACTGCATATGCCCAACATGGAAATGCAACTGTGGCAGGTTAGGTACAGATTTCAAGGACATCTGTACTCCCATACTCCTGGGGCAAATCTAATCGATTGTTCTGAGAGTGCCCAGGAAAGTTTATGAATAGCAACCATTTTGTTGCCGTTTCAGTTTCATCCACATCTTTCTTAGCTCTTTTTGTTCTCATTGAAGAAAATTCAACTGTTTCAGGTCAACATGAGATTCTCAAACTCAAACTGTCACTTTAACAAGCATGCTTTAACTCATTTGCTGCTAACCCATTCTCTCTTCTTAATGACATTCCCCATCTTTATTCTCCAAGTGGAGTTTTAAAAAGAGAAAGTTACTTCTTCTAGCTGGATTTTATTTCAGAGTACAATAACATACCCTTTGGAACCAGAAGAGAGTATAATAACATACTTTTTGGAACCAGAAGAGAAAAAAGCACTCCACCCCTGACCTAACAGAAAGGGAAGAAGTCCACTGTAAATTATTTATTTCCCGTAAATCTTCTGATTTGTGAACTATGTTGCCTGTAAACCACGGATTTCAGAACCAGTTTGCTAAATTCCTGCAATGTGGCAGGGGCTTACTAAACTCACTGGCTAAGTTCATCTGCTGATTTCTTCATCCTCTTTGGAGGATACAATACTCTTTGACACATGACTAAAGTGCTCTTAAATTAAATACCAAGCATGCAAGTTTAAAGTCACTATGTAGGGTTGCTAAACCCATCACATAATTTTTCAAGTGTCATATGGTTTTCTATATAATAGGATGTAAAAGCCAAGTCACATGAATAAACCAACATTTTTTTTTTTACTTAAGGAGAGTAAGAATCCCAGAAAATATCCATATCTATCCTGCAATCTGCATCTAAACCTCTGTAACGAGGAGGCTATTTCATCTGAGAATTATCATGGATACTTTCTAAACTAGCTGCTGAAGAAAAAAAAATATATTCAAGGAATATCTCTAAAGCATTCATTCAACTATTTGTAACTCCAGAGTCAGCTTTCAAAAAAATTCTCATATTGAATCTTAATATGTTAACAATCTAAATAGTCTCCCGTAGGATGAAATTAAAAAGTCAAGACTTCAATTAAAGGTTACCATCTTAATTTGTCCCTCATGATACCACCAAAATTCCAGACTCCAGTGATATCATCCCAAGAAAAAAAAAGAATTTGCTAATCTTCAGCTTGCAGTTTGTCAGGACCACACACTTAAACCTCTGACTGGTGGGACAGCCAACTCTACTATTGGCAAAAACATAATCAAAAATGACAAAACAAAACCAAACCCTTAATATATAATTCAGTTGTCAAACATCAGGACATACACAATCAGGCAGTTGCTGTATTCACTCCACATTTGTAGAAAAAGGATATGAATGTATCAAAATTTTAATAGCTATTCTTCTTATCAGGTTAAAAGGACTTAAAATGTACAAGGCAGGCGTGGCACTAAATCTGAAGAGAGTTTTCCCTCTGTTTAATACTACAAAGGTCTGTGGAGAAAGAAAAAGAGAGAAATGATTAAAGCATGAGAATTAATCACCATACAAAACAACATTTTTCTAGTTATGGAATAAATAAACTCAAAGGTATTTACAATTTTTACACTTCTATTTGCTTTTGAAGGCAAGAAACCTTAAGACTATCTTCTCCCCCTCACCTCCCTTTTCCTGCCCTATCCCAGATTATTACAAATAGCTGGCATAATCTTGGCAGTTTTACAAAATATATTTGTCTCTTTCAGAAATAAGACTTTTGAACTATACCTAAGCTCCCCATGCCAGATCTGGATAAGATACTGAAGTTCATTAATTTAGGATTCATTCACTCAACTAATGATGACTGAACACTACTACGTGTCAGACGATATTGTTGGTACTTGGAAGTTATCAGTGAACAATGCAGTCCTGATCTGGAGAGAGTATTTTCCAATGGGGAGGACAGACAATAAATAAAACATAATGAATAAATAAATTATTTAGACTGTGATCAATAGAAGGTGATTGGTGCTATGGAAAAAAGAGGAAAACCAGGGAAAAGACAAGAATTCGAGGCAGAGGATGGATAGATGGAGAGGTGACTGTTTTAAAGAAGGTGGTCAGGGAAAGCCTACTGGGAAGAGAGTTGAGCAAAGACTGGAAGAAAGTAAGAAGAGCTCTTCATTCAGTCACTATATCAATATTTATCTACCCCGTCTGCTCTATCTGGCTTTTAAGAGCTTCCAATTTAGACCTTGCCAAAATTGTTCAACTGTATCCCCAGCATGAATCCTCCCATGTAGCCAAACTAGTCCATGTCCCCAGAACAGGTTACAATGACGCATGAATTCTGGCCTTCGTTCACACTGCTCATCCTACCCTGAATGCTTTGTCTTGCGAATTCATTTTAATTCAATTATTTTTCAGCATCCATTCTGTGCCAAGCATTGTGCTAAGTTCCAGGGACACAAAATTGAACAGAATTGTACTTTTAGGGAAGACATATATGTGAACTAGTAATTATGATGCAGGGTAAGTACAAAATTCAAAATAAAATATGTATATTGTATAAGAAGCTATAGGAGGGAGACCCCCCACCCCTCCTTGGGTGGAGAATAAAAAGGACTATGAACAGGAAAGGGTTTACAAAGAGAGGTAAATCATATTTGGAAGGAGTTTTAAGGACAAATAGGAATTAAGAAAAATTGGGCAGATAGAAGAAGAAGGGATGGCCAGGAAAGGGAACAGCATAGCATGTACAAAGAAGCACAACAGAGTAACTGTGGGCTGCTTTCAGGGAGTGGACAAGTAGTTTTGTGTTGATGGAGAATAAAACTGGGAAGGGGAACAGTAGCTCGTGATGCTGGAGAAACAGGGTCTATTAGACTGGCAGTCTCTAAGGAGATCAGATCAGAAGTAAATACAGAGGGCAATGGCCAAAGGCAAGTCATTTTAAGTAGTTTTTGTTGTTTTAATTTAGAGCAATGTATGCTTACAATTAAAAGCAAACAACCAAACAAAAAGGCAGGGCCTGATGGTATAGGTCTGTTATCCCAGCTACTCACGAGGCTGAGGCAGGAGGATTGCAAATTTGAGGCCAGCCACATCAGTTTAGGCCCTGTCTCATAATAGAAAGAGGGATGGGGATGTAGCTCAGTGGTACAACACCCCTGGACTTAATTCCCAGTACTGGAGGAGAGGGGGATGAATGACTAATATCATCCTTTTACCAAAGGATAACTTTGCAGCTACCTTTTTTTGGGGGGTGGGGAGTAATATACTTTCAGAAATTTTCTGTATAAATATAAACATACAGATAAGGTATATCCTTAAAAAGTCTCTCCCTCAAATGAGATTATACAATAATTAATCGTTTCTACCTTACATTAAAAAAAATGAATGAACACAAAGAAAAGCCCAGGACCAGATGGTTTCACTAATGAATTCTACCAATGTTTAAAGAATTAATACAAACTCTTCCAAAGAACAGAAGAGAAGAAAACATTTCGGCAAATCAGATATTCACATCACAAAAAAACTCTAGACTGATATCCTTCATGAATATGGACACAAAAAAGACTCAACAAAAATACCAGCAACCAAATCCAGCATTTAAAAGGGATTATGCACCATGACCAAGGGGAATTTATCCAAGAAATGAAACATGGTTTAGCATATGAAAACCAACCAATGAAATAAATTTTAAAAATAAAGAAAAACCACGTAACTATCACATAAGTGCAGAAAAACATTTAGCAAAATCCAACATCCTTTCATGATAAAAACACTCAAAAAACTAGAAATAAAAGCTTCCTTAACCTGATTAAGACTATTTATGAAACAAATCACAACTAACATACTTTTTTTTACCCGCATCCTTACAACTAGGCTTTAAGTTCTTTGAAGGCAGGAATCAATCTTAACACTTCCTCCCACAGTTCCAATATAATGTTTAGTTCATGTGTTCCAAATAAACTGTTGGTAGATTTTTCTTTAAGTTCCTTTTCTCTTCTATTTGTACCTTTCTTAGTCTGCCAATCACACTAATATCTTCGCAATAGGAAAGCTATATATATTCTGGAAACATCCACTGAATCATCCCATGTTCAATATTGCAGTGTAATAATGCACTTCCTGTACTAGTGTCCTGGTCTGGAAGGATAGTCTGATCCTAAAAGCAAAAAGAAATAGTAGATCTAAAGTTACCATGAAACAGATCAAAGGTACAGCTCTGACTTCCATTTTTTTTTTTTCCCAAAAGAAACAAATAGGGCAGGACTTTCCTCAAACCCCCTCTCTGAAGTACTTGTAGCCCTCTGTGTTTCTATAGCAACCTTCTCTGTAAAAATGCCAGTCTTTCAAATAACCTCCTTATTCAACCTCATAATATTTCTGTGAAGGAGAGATTATTAGCACTCTGCATCTTACAAAAGCCCAGGAGGGGAAACCACCTATAAAGCTCAGGTAGCAAAGAGCAGTATATTATGTGGAGCTCAGAGCCTCTTTCAGCTTCTACTGTGCCAGACTGGGAGGCAATTTCATGGCTATATGGCAGAGAATGAAGCTGGTATGGGGGATGGATTCTCTGTGAATGGGAAATTTGAGTCCCTGGGATATACTACATAAAGTAGCAAAGCAACAATGGAAGAACCACTGTCCCATGCCCCTACAAACCACCAGGCCAGGCCTTCATTAAATTGCCTACTGCTGTAGAAAATAAATAATAGCATTTTAAAAAGTGTCATGTTCTGTATCTACTACCTCTTGTCTCTTAATTTTGTCACAATGGAAACACAGATCTAGCGGTACCATGGGGGGTATTTCCTATCACAAAATCAGTGCCTGCAGTGCCTGGCATACAGCAAGCACTCAATCAATGTTTGTTTATTGGTTAATAAACAAATGCTCATGTTGTCCGAGATAATGGAAAAGTGGAAGAGGAAAAAGAAAAAGACGACATCAGGAAATTAAAACTGTTATTTTCTGGATGAAGATAAACTAGGAGGCAGCTAGGATTCTGAATTAATACAACAATGAATTGACAAGTGGGAGACTGAGAGAAACTAGGTAACTTTAGTGAATTAAATAACTATGGTTTTGTAAGTAGAAAAGCATTATTAGGGACATTTTACATTTTACAAAGAATAAATTTCCGTAATTTGGTACTGAATGCTACACATAGAACAAAAATCACTTATCATTTCTCCTTTCTAAATATTTATATTCTATATCTTCATCATGTATTTAGAAAACCAGATATTTTCTCTAGTCAAAAAGAAACAAGCAGGGCTGGGGATGTGGCTCAAGCGGTAACGCGCTTGCCTGGTATGCGCGGGGGCGCTGGGTTCGATCCTCAGCACCACATAAAAATAAAATAAAGATGTTGTGTCCACCGAAAACTGAAAAATGAATTAAAAAAAAAAAAAGAAACAAGCACATAGTCCACATTAAACCTCATGAAATGAAGGCAAATCCTCCACACGTAAAGTAGCAAGTTGCATTACAATAAAATATTATTAAGATAATCAGGTTTACAGATAACTAAAATGGAGTTTTGCATAAAGCAAGATAACATTTGGAATAATGCAAGTCCTCATAGCTTAGGAATTTCCCCGTTAATACTGGTATTGGCAATGCTTATGTGACGGAGAGAACACACCCAATGTTGGCCAGCTTTAACTGTCAATGCACAGGTAGCATAGTTTTTTTACCACAAAAACTATGTGGCTTTGTAGGCCACATAGTTTTTGTGGTAAAAACTCAACTCTGCCACTGTGGTACACAAGTAGTCACAGACAATGTGTAAAAAACAAGAGTGGCTATGTTCCAACAGACCTTCATGAACACAGAAATTTCATACAATTTTCACATGTCCAACTGTTGAAGAATATGAAAACCATACTGAACTTATGGGTCACATAAAAATAGATGACAGAGCTGACTTGGCCCATGGAATACACTAATACCAGTTTCTGACTAAGGTGAGACCAGCTGCATAAGAATAATCTGAGTAGATTCATATATCCCACCTGCAGAGGTTCTGGTTAAATGTGTCTGCAGAAGAATCAAAGAATCTGTCCACCAGGTTTTGGGAACCACCAGATCATCTCTCAGCTCATGTCTACCTTCGCCTACCTCTACATAGCTGTATGGCCTAGGCGAGCCATCACACCTCTCTGGATCTCATTTTCCTCATCTATAAAATGAGAGAAAGGGCTGGCTGAGGGGTGTGCTCAGGTTTTTTCCAGGTCTGATATCTCTGATTCTCTGATTTGGAAATTTCACAGCACATTGGAGATGAAGTGCAATAAAGCAGTAAACCATACTTTTGAAGAGGAAGCCTATTATTATTTATTCTTTCACATTACTTCTTGGTAGAGCTCTCCTAAGTTAGTTATTTTGTCCTCTCAAGTTACAATCCGTCAAGTCCAGGTACAACAGTGCTTGATACTATCCTGACAACCATACTTGTGTCAGCAGGGGGCAGCAGGGAGCAGTCTCAGGGCAGTACTGTA